TATATATATATATATCTCTCTCCGTGCGCTGCTTTTGAAGCACAAAGTGGCCGGTGGAAGTCTCTATAGTGCAACCACGGAAACTTATCAGTAGGGCCAGAAAAAAAGAGTAGACAGAAGAACCGAAAGAAAGAAAATGCCCCAATTGGATGAGAGGGAGTTGCGTGCACTTTACATGGGCGCGGATCGTGTGACTTGCGTTGATGTTTCATCGAAGTGCTTGCTCTGGTGTGTCGAGGGCGGTAGAGCGGCAACGCTGCACATGTGGGAGTCGCGCGAGGAGCAACCGTCCACGGTGCCGCTGGTAGAGCTGGGCTTCGTTCCGACTCTCATCTCTGCCATGGAAGAGAAAGTCGTCGTTGTGGGCGACAGAGTTGTGGCACTGTTCACGGTGGAATGGCCGTCTTTCTCCGCCATGGACTTGCTCCCTGTTGATGAAGAAGACGAGAAGGAAGGAGGAAATCCAACGGTTAGAGAAGTGTTCACATGTAGTGAGATCCCTGCTGGTGTGACGCACGTCTCGTGGGCCACGGATGGGACTGCAGCCGCGCTTTCAGCAGCGCAGCAACTTGTGTTGATGGATTGCCGCGTCGGCTACAACGACGCAAGTCACAACGGCCATGAATTTAGCCCCTGCTTAATGGTAGATTGCAGTAGCTGGTACGGTGACCCTGGCGCTGCCTTTACTGCATTCACTGCAAGTCGCCTCTTTCTCTTGTCCACTCGGAATCATCTAGTGATGACCCGCTTCAGTGATAATAACGACTGTGGTGGCCAAGACGTCTGCTACTACCTTGAGCCACGACTTGAGAGGGATGGTCACGTTATTGCGCGGGCCCACCAGGTCACATGCTTTGCGGTTGGCGGCAGTGAGGAAGGATACCTCGTCGCCGGGCTCTCTGACGGAACGGTGAAGCTGCTGCGGCAGGATTCAATGGAGGTCTTCTTCACCCTTGACGTGGCGAAACAGTTGTACCGCCTGACAGGCAGGCCACCGCCGCCGGACACGGGGGATGATGGTGTAGAGGTGTTGAGCATATCGGTTGGCCGTCGATGCATGCTGGTGGTGCGACCGGATGCAGCCATATGCTACGATAAGAAGTCGATGGAGTTAATCGAGGAAAAGACAATGTTTCTTTTCGGCAGGGCGACGATGTCGTCAAGGTGCGCAGGGGACGGGTCATGGTGCGCCTGGTCGCCACAAACTCAAGAACTTCTGTATTATGCAGCTCCAGTACAGATGTTTCTTGCGGCAGACAACAACGCTGATATCGTGCATGCCCAAGTCCCACTACCTTCGAAACTGCTTGAACCACTTAGTTTACCGTATCAAAAAGAGGCACTCTCTGCATGCAGTGGAAAGGGGGCTGACAAAAAGAAGCCTAAAAATAAGTTTCTGACCGAGAAGCCTGTAACGCACGGTCATGTTATTAAAAGCAGTGGATATGCAACTGCCGTACCCTGGAGCGTCCAGCAGCAGCGTGCCAAGCAGGCGCGAGAACGGGTTCAAAAGGGAGTTCAACCTTCTCGCTCAGTTGCCTCTGATTTAAGATATAGGCCCTTACCGTTATTTGGGCGTCCGTTTGAGCCCATGACAAAGGCAAATAAGATTCTCTCGTCTTCACCTATTCATCGAGCCATGGTTACAGACGCCGTGTTCGCTGCGGCTGGGTCTGCACTCTTGACGGCCTCTGCTGACACCACCGCGAACTGGTTGAAGTACCCTGTTGCAAGAAACGGAGGGGAGGGGACATTGATGGAAGTACACACCAGCCCCGCGAATGCCATTGATGTTAGTCTCTCCCTCAATGCACCTTTTGTGGCAACTGGAGCTGCCGACGGCGTAGTGGCGATGTGGCAACCCACAAAACGAGAAGCGCCGTACATTGTGCAAAAAGTCGCCAAGGAGGTAAGAGCGGTAAAATTTTTCTACACGGACAAATTTCTTTGTTACGCTGCTGGAAACACGGTATCCTTCTGTCGTTATGCGCTGGATGACGGAGGTGGTGAACTGCATCGCAATCGCAATGAATCCACGTTGGAGACTGTGCTGGAGTTTGCCGCTAATTCAGCCCAGTCTGTGGTCGCCGTGGATGCCATAAACTACTTCACGTCCAACGTTATGGTTTGGGCAGGATCGAACAAGTCGGTTGGCGTCTACGACGTTTCTGTCGGGCAGAGCATTCAGGTCGTGGAAGAGGCCCACTTACGCCCTATCCACCATGTTGCAATGCTAACATCCAGCCGATATGCCGCACCCAGTACGAATCTTTTACACACCTACCTAACGGCGGGTTTGGACTCCACGGTACGACTTTGGGACCTTCGCCAGCGGCGATCCGTGCGACAGTTGGCGCTTCACCGAAACACCGCAGCTCCGGTGGGTGCGGCATTGTCTCCCAATGGAGCCGCGGTGGCGGTTGGTAGCGAAACCCGAGACGTAGTCATCTACGACGTGGGCTCAGGCGCAGTTGTAAACACAATAAATGTGGGTGACACACCCACTGCCCTCAGTTGGCATCCGCTAGAAAGCGTTCTCGCCGTGGGCACAGCCACAGGCGCCATTAAACTGATGGGGCAACGTTGAAAATCGAGAAAGAAAGATAGAGTCGAGAACTCCCACCCACCTTTTCTTTGGAATGTGGGAGAAATAGAGCGGAGTGGCACTTTCTGCAAGGGCCAGTGGTCTTTGCTGCACTCCTTTTTCTTATTTCTTTCGTTTTCTCTCTCTCCTCGTTAATCTACCTCGCGTGTGTGGGCTGGAGCCAAGGTGCAGGGGCACGGGCATGGATGGCACTCAACTGCAGGCAGGCACGACGGGCCCTGCGCCTCGCGAAAGAACCCGACGAGGCAGGGCGGCGTCTAGGAAGTCTTTGCCACGCCGCAGGAATTCCCAGGGGGCACCCCGTGCGAGGAAGGACTTACATCGCCCTCCGCGTGGAGTGAAACAGACTTGGCTGAGGATTGTATTTCACTGTCTGTACTTTTTGCTGGTGGAGTGTATTATTCTCAAACCTTTACATTTCATACAAAAGTGGGTGGAAGATTATACATCACGGGCACAAAAGGCTCGCACGGAGCGGCGGTTCATTAACATTATGAACTCTACAGAGAGCCTTGATACATGGCTTACGAATGCGTCCTACCTTGACAGGCATCGTGGAATGCAAGCGTGGAAGAAGACGGTCCCGAACAAGGAAAATTGTGATGCCGAAGGCCTAAACCAGGATGCCTACTGCGCCAAGATCCTCGCGGTTTCTGAAAATGAACGAGCCATGTCTGAGTTTCTGCGTTCACAGCTGCACCGCACGGCCCACGGTATAACCAGCCCCTCCAATTTTCGGTATTACACTGGCACAATAACCTCTGTGGAGGCATACAATGAGGCTGTTGTGGGTCTTATACAAGCGTTTGGGAGGGAACGCCGGTATAACGAGCCACACTTGCCACCATTGACTTCTTCTGAAGAAAGAATGCAGGGCTCATTTGAGGAAAGCCATTCAGTGACCCCAAATTCTACAACGGCTATATTTTCTAAAGAGTTTCCAAGGAACGGCGAAGTTGTGGATTCTGCCCCCTCTGGGCAATCCGATACAGAAAGGCGTGTCGATGATCCTTCATGTGATTATTTGGAGCAGAGAGCTGTCCCCTCGTTATATCTTTCCTCTCTACTTAATTGGGCCATGGAGCCACATTCTCCCGCGGAAACGCTTCTGACGGATACCCAGAAGCTCAAGGTACTGCAAGACACGCTACGGTCCTACGGACGCAGCGCTCTCATGCTAAGTGGGGGTTCTACTTTGGGGGTTTCCCACACAGGCGTTGTTCGAGCCCTTTTTGATGCAGGTTTATTACCTAATATTATTTCGGGCTCTTCGGCTGGATCCCTCCTTGCCTCGATTGTCTGTTCCATGAAGGACGATCAACTTCGTGAATTATTGACGGATTCTATACTGACGGTCCAAAAATTGCAACTTTCCCCCTTTGATCACGGAGGATTATTTACAAGACTAAAGCAACTTTTACGTACTGGGGCCTTCATGGAGGTACGGACACTCATGGATTGCCTCCGCAGCAATGTGGGGGATATTACCTTTGAAGAAGCATACCGTAGTACAGGTCGCATATTAAACGTCTGTGTGACAAGTGAGCAGTACAGTGGCTCTCACATGGATCGACATATGCTACTAAACTACGTGACAACACCGAATGTTGTGCTCTGGAGTGCAGTGAGTGCTAGTTGCGCTCTGCCCGGACTATTCACGGCGGTTCAGCTTATTGAGAAGTTGTCCGATGGTACTTTCCGACGCTTTCTTCCAGGACAGCTTTGGTGCGATGGAAGTCTCGCTCGCGATCTTCCGCGGGAGAGTCTCGCTTCCTTGTTTAATGTCAACTTTTTTATTGTGAGTCAGGTCAACCCGCATATCATACCCTTTCAGCGAAAGCCTGACTTGCCGCTTGTGTACAAGGAGCACCGTCCACGAAAAATTCTGAGTTCACTGTGGTATGGGTGCTGCCGAGAAATTCACCGTTGGATTTTGAAGTTGTTCAGCGTTGGACTCCTCTCTCGCACTGGCCGGTGGGAGCTACCGTACCTCTTCCTGACGCAGCGTTACGACGGCGACATTCTCATACTCCCGATAGGAAACGTTCTGCACGCCGTGCCGGACTATTTCAATATTGTGGAAAATCCAACGGCTGAGTACATTGCCTTTGTCACAAGCAGAGCACAGCTGCGGACATGGCCGCATCTCAATAAGATCCGTCACTCTACGATGATTGAGCGGGCCCTCATACGCGAAATTGGCTTGTTGAGGGAACGCATTAGAGATCGCAATAACAAATTTTCGTGAGGGAACGTTCCGTCATTTCTTCCCCGCCCCTTTCTTTTTTTGTCCCTCTGTGTTTCCCCCCCCCCCCCTTAGTGCCTTTGGACTTTCATTGCTGGGGCAGAGTCTGGCATTGGCCTGAATGAAAGCAAGCATCTGTGATGTGCGTGTGTGTTTATATATATGCCCTCCCTTCACCTCAGCCTCCCCTGACGCTAAGTGCGACTTGGGATAGTAAGCTATACAGAGAGCAAGAGGAGGGGAACCAAACCCATATCCTCGCTTTGCTCTGACTGGCGTTGCCTACAACTCTTTTATGCTTGTCGTTTGCGCAGTTTTTGCCTGTTTTTTTTGTTTGGTCTTTTTTATTTATTTTACTCCTCCTTGCAGCGTCGGCTCGTATCAACCCATCTGTCCGTCCATTTTGTTTTCCTTCTCTGTTCTCCCTAACACGCATACGCATGGTTTCTCTCTCTCTCTCTCTCTCGTTCGACTTGTTCACAGCCGGAGCAACGGCCGCCAATTGGGAGGACGGGGGGCTCAGCATCTCCAGCTCCTTGAAGAACAAGACCGGATAGGCGGGTAATTCTTGGGGCTAGGGAGCTGTATCCTGTGCGCACACGCAACATGGAAAACTACACCGTGATTGGAAAGATTGGTGGTGGTGCCGAAGGCGTTGTGTTCCATGTACGACACGAGATCACGAAGAAGGCACTCGCCATGAAGGTAATTCGTTGCGCCGACCACACCAAGGTGAATTCAGCTCTGAAGGAAATTAAAGTTCTCTTGCAGCTTCGCCACCAACATGTCGTCTCCTACGTCGATTTCTTTCTTCTGTTCCACAACGACGCGATCCGGCATGAATTTGCCGTGGGGAATACCGACGAGGGACAACTCTCCAAGCCTACAGAAAACCTTCGATTGTGCAGCACAGAAGGATCTTCCAGCGGTACCGGCAGCTCAACTGGTGGAAATGACGTCTTTCCAAACGTCTTCTGCTTTAGCCCCTCCGAAGTTTGCGTCTGTCTGGTGATGGAGTTGTGCACCTCTGGCGACATGCAGGGCACAATACGGGAGGCACAGCAATGCTTCATGGAAGTTGGCTCCCATCCCATTACGGAGGCACAAATTCTATTGTGGATGGAGCAGTGCGCCTCAGCACTTGCCTTTATCCATGAGCAAGGATTCCTGCATCGTGACTTGAAGCCTACCAATATATTTTTTGACAAGTACAAGGATATCAAAATTGGGGATTTTGGTCTTGCAGCCACCGTTGGCCTTGGCCGCCAAACCATTGTGGGGACTCCCATGTATCTCGCCCCGGAGCGTATGCTGCATCAGGTGTACGACGAAAAAGTAGATGTGTGGGGCTTGGGTGCTGTGATGCTGGAACTTGTTACCCTGCAGGATCAACCCGTCAATAGCCGGGTATTGGAAAACCCACTGTTTGTCGAGTCCGTTGTGCAGCAGGTAACATCAATGGGGTTTACAGCTACACTCGGTAGTCTATTGCGTGATATGCTGCAAAGATTTCCCGAAGGCCGGCCCTCACCTGCGGCTATACTGTGTCGTCTGGCTGGCATGACAACAATGACCTCACCTCACCGCAACATATCTGTCCCACGTCCTTCGGCGGGCGTAAGCCATCTCAAGTCCCCAATGATGGTATGCGGGTTATGCGAAGTAGAAATTGCGACGTCGGCCTGCTCAACCTGTGGCGCTGTTCTTTGTGAAGAATGTGACCGTGCAAGGCACAAGCACCACAGCCGCCACAGCCATGAAAGGAGCTCGTTGCTTCTCTCACGCCATACAACGCGCGCGCATCCGTTGAACGATGTGGAGCCGAACACGCTACCACCTGTAAAGCACAATATGAACGGCAAAATGAGTCAGTCATTCTCAAAGCTTAGGTGGCCTGTGTTTAATTCTACGGGGGGCTCTTTCTGCGGGGCATCTACTGAGCCTTCAAGCCATGTCCTCCGTCAAGGTATGAGTAGTACCACAATTCGGGTTCCGCAGGATTATGCCACAATCAAGGCTGCGCTGCGTGTGGTACAGTCCATGCCACAGATCCGAAAAATTGTGGTGGCTGGTAACACCATTCATAACACGCCGTTGACTCTGTGCGACAGGTTACCAGACAACCTGAAAATTCTCGGTGAGGACCCTTCCCCCGTCATTGAAGTCGAGGATAACGCATTTGCCATTCAGTGTACGTCGGGTCGTGGCACCTTGGAAAATTTCATTATTCGCCATGCTGGAAAAAAAGTCTTACTGACGGATTCTTACCCTGGTCAAACCTCTCTGAAAAAGTCTTCTCGACCCGTTGCTATCTCCATTGCGGGTGGAGATTGGAAAATCACGCAGTGTCGAATTTCGTGCCCTGCTGGAACTGGGATCAGTGTGGCTACTGGTGTGGAGGCTGTTGTATCGCACTGCACTATTCTTGAAGTCAAAGTAGCGGGGATAATTGTGATGGAGGGAGCCCAGGGGTTATTTGAAATGAACACCCTCACCAACTGTGGGTTTGCCGCCTTTTTGTTGAAGAAGAACAGCTCTGCGCGACTGTACAGGAACCATGTGATGGATGGCGCGGAGACTGGCATTTTTTGCCAGGATGCCTCTGGTTTAGCGGAGGATAATTTCATTGCGAACAATGGTGGATGTGGTGTGGTGACAAAGGGTTACGATTCCAACATCATTTTTCGTGTAAATAGAGTTGTGGCAAATGAACAAGCTGGTTTTTTCTGCTGTGACGGCGCAAGTCCGATCATAACGGCGAATGAAATACGACAGAACAAGCGGGCCGGTGTACTAGTCAAGACTCGAGCCGCTCCAAGGATCGCGAAGAACATCATTCGCTCTGGGCGGGAGGCAGGCATTTACGTCTTTGAAGGGGGAGAAGGTTTTATTGAGGAAAATGAGTTGCGGGATAACAGTAACGCGGGGATTCTGGTCACAACGGGTGGCTGCCCACATGTAGTGAAGAACACAATTTGCGGTAGCCTTTACGAAGGGGTCTGGGTGTGCAAGGGGGGTGGCGGGAATTTCGTTGAAAATGACCTGCGCGGCAACGAGAAGGGTCCTAAAGACATTGAGAAGGGCTGCTCAGTCGTGTGGATTGGCAACCGCGAGTCTTGAGGCAGCAGAGCACAGAGAAGGGGATTATTATTAATTGTTTTTCTTTTTGCCTTGCTTTGCTTAAATGCACTACAGCAGAGTAGCGAGTTCTACGCACCTTCAATATGTAATAAGGGGCCCGTCGGAAAGATGGCATGAGGAGGTTTAGATATTTCAATAGATGCACAAGCGAATTTGAAGCTTGGGGTTTGTTTTCCCTCTTTACTTTATTTCGTTGAGTCTTTGGTGGGTTTGGGGAGGCGTTGTTTTTATGGGTCTAAACTCACTGTGGGAGCATCGCCTCAAATACTTATGGACCAGTTGATGTGGATTCCGGACTTTTTGTGTATGCGCATCGTGGACAGAGCTCTACGGCCTCCGTTAAGAGTTGGCGGGGGGTGCGAGAAGAAGAGGAGGGATTTAAAAAAAAAGAGGGGGAGAGGCGGCGCTAGAGTCATCCTTGTACCTTCCATCTCCGTTGCCTCATCAAAGGAACAACTCTGTCTAGAGTGTTAGAGT